TTCTTAATTCAGTAAGTCTCTGCTTGAGCTGCCCTTTTCTAATTCAAGTATTACATTTAGGTTGGAACCTTTCCTGATTTAACAGATTCTCACAAAATCCTTAGAGAGAGATCTGCAGGTTCATGTGCCAGTTCCCAACAGGATTTTTGCAAAGGGACTATTCTGGACCCCAGCTCCATTGTTTTAATTCTCTTCTGTGTCCATCCATGGATTTGCTCACATTTCCATTCAAACACTTCTTGTTTCTCAAGGAAAATATGTTGACAATAGTCTTCACTAATAATTAAGGAGATTATTTACCTGATATATATAATATATATAGATAGATAAACTTTAAAGCTATCCAAAACCTCATCCTTGCCAACTCACATGTTCTTTACTTTTTCTTCTTCTTTCTTATATAGCCAGTGATTTACTTATTATTTTTCCAGCTTCCTATTCATGGTCTAATTCTCTTTTACACTGGAAATTCTCACTCATTTTGTTTTCTGACTTTTAAACATTGCACTTTCTTTTAGCACAAGCCTCCTTTTTCTAAGCTCGCTTCTTCTTGCTAATACTTTTTCAGTATTAACAATTATTTATCTGTTCAGGTTTCACTCTCTATAGTTGAGACAGAGGCCCCACTTTTTTTTTTTTTTTTTTTTTTTTTTTTTTTTTTTTTGCACGTTGAAAATGTCATTTTGATCGAAAACCACTAGGAGGAAGCATTCAACAAGTTTCCCTGTCCAGATGTAGATCCTAGTCTTAATCTTATTAAATTCAAATAAATTTGAACAGGAGCTAAGGGGCCTGCTGGATCACAGACCCCCTCGAAAGGGCTGTGGCACATAATGGCACATAAGCCCTTGAAAACACGTGTAACTATTTCCCTTCCAGTCAAACTGGCTTCTCTGCTCCTGCTAAAAACAGTTTTGTGACTCCATCCTCTGAAGAACAGAAGCCACCTCTAATTTATAAGTTAATTTTCCCTTGACTCTTCTATTTGTCTTTTAAACGTTTTTCTCCCTTCCTCATATTTTCCCACATGCTTTATTTACTGAGAGTTACAATGCATCCTCTCAGCTGTTATTTCTAGGCTGAAAACACTAAACATGAATCTCTTCTCATAACACACATTATTATTCACCCTAGAATTGCTTCCCAGCACATGATCCAGTTTTCATTCACACTTGTTGAATTGCAAAGATCTCTGGTGAACAGGGGGAAAAAATGTTGCCTTTCTTTCAAGCACAAGTGGAGTTTCAGGCAGCTCCATCAATTTGCCCAAGAGCTGAGAAACACTGAACTAAATTATTCACGTGGTTCAATTAATGTTAGTCTCAATGGTAAAGTCAGTTTAGCTTGTGCTACAGGTCCTGAAGAAAATATTGCTGAAGAAAATAGCTTTTTATTCATTAGTTTGTTTGGGTTTTTTCCCACCACCTTTAGCACTTTTGGTTTGCAATTATTTAAGGATTTTCCATTACTATGATTTCCTATGAAAAATGTGTGTGCTTCAGGTGGTAAAGTGAAGCCCACTGCAGAGAGGTACAGATGTTCTGGAGTTCTCATGTCATTTATTTGTATTTATTGTTCCACATCACTATCAAAGGAACAAACACATCATGCTGTTGAGCTCGAGTTTCTTGTGGGCTGTCAAATGGAAAAGCTCTCAAGCCTCAGTTTGTTGGGGTTTTTTTGTCTGTACTAATAACTTCTTTAAAAATGCAATAATTTGGGGTAAAATTTTAAGTGCTATGTAGTTTATGGAAGATGTGATTGTTGAAGAGAATAGGCTGTTAATGCAGCCTGGATTAAATAATTACAAAAATCACATGAAATTTTGCTCTGAATGACCAAAAAAGGAAAGCAATCCATCTGGAAATAAGGCTGTATGTCACACAGCCACCACAGGAAAGCATGAAGTTTGTAAGGACATCAGTAGAATCCAAAATTAGAGGCTCAGAGAAGAACCAGAAGGATTTGTAAGATTATTTATTTCTAAGTGCACATTTTCTAACTGCAGTGTTTATATTCAGAATTTTATCTCCCAAATGGTTGGGACCTCCTTGTGACTTGGAAGATTTTCTTGTGGCCTTTCATCACATAAAGAGGGTTTGTAAAAAAGATGGAGGGAGACTTTTTATCAGGGTTTTAGACTAAAAGAGGGTGGGCTCATCTTTGACATAAGATATTTTTGCCATAAGGGTGGTGATGCCCTGGCACAGGGTGCCCAGAGTAGTTGTGGCTGCCCCTGGATCCCTGGAAGTGTCCAAGGACAGATTGGATGTGACTTGGATCAGCCTGGGATAGTGGAAGGTGTCCCTGACCATGGCAGGGGGTGGAACTGAATTTAAGGTCCCTTCCAACCCAACCCATTCTTTGATTCTATGATTAAAGAACATGGCAAGGGAACTGTCTTCCCTAAATTAGTATCACCTTTACTCAGAGTTTCTGCAGAAGATAAAATTCACCATAGAGGGTATTTATCATTTATAATTTCTTACACCAACAAACAGTTCACTTAGGGTACCAAATGAACTTTGGCATCTGACCTCCTACAATGGTGGAGCTCTGGTTCTGTTTCAGGGTGTCCTTTCCAGAGAGAAGACCAACAGTTAACTGCTCTTACAATAAAAAAGTACTTCCAGGCACACAAACTGGCAAAGATGAGTCACGCCACATTTAGGTATGAATGTGTTTAATACAATCTCCTGGGAGGATGTCATACCATGGCTGTTCAGTGCACCCCCAAATCCATGAGAATGATGCATGTGGCTCATTACTGCTCCTCAGAGCATCCTGCACGTCTTGGGAAGCTGACATTGAACAGTCTGGAGCTGGGAAACACTATCCTACCAGTGCCATGTAGTCAGCTCCTCAGCTGTGGTTGTTCATGTGCTGTGAAAGTGGTCAAAAATAATTTCAGCTAAATAAACCCATTAAATTTCATTAATTATTTTATAATTGTTAGAGTTATTTTTTATTTGAAGGAATAGAACCTCTGGGTTCTAAAGGCACAGAGCTGTTGACTTTTCTGGTATAACACAGATTCACTGTGCACCTACCTTAAAATCTGAGGGAGAATTAGTCAAAACTAATTAAGTTGCTACCATTTCAGGAATGGCTAGGAAGAATCTAAGGGAATACCACAGATGAAACTAAAAGGTATTATAAATATTATTTATTTGCATCAGTCTTCAGACAATATTAACTGAAAACAGAGTCTCATTATTAGGTGTAATTTACCATCCAGAGTGAAAGAGAATTTCTGTCCAAAAAGCTCACAATCTGAAGAGGTGAAAAAGACAAGAGAAGAAAGCAACACAAGACATGAGAATATAACTGCTACCAGAGAAAAGGTATGCAGGTTGCAAACAAGTGCACAGCAGGTCTCACTCCATCACTGGGTCCTTTTCTGGCTGAAATCAGTGTGGAGGGAAAAGCTCACCCGAGCCTTGCCAGAAGCTGCCAAACCCAACGGTGATCACAGAGCTGCAACCTCGCAACTGAGAAAAGTAAAAGGCATCTTAAACCTTGAAGATGTTAGGGTACATAAGAAATTAAAATGTCAGGGGTAATTTGTGGCTACATCCAGAACATGATAAAGGGAAACACAACAGTCCTTAGACAGCAAAGTGCTTTGGCTGGAGGTATCTCTAAAGTAAATATACAAAGGACAAAAGATTAGGTAGTGTTTGGGCATGTGTTTTTCTGAGAAGCCCAAGCTATAAAGACATGAAGATAAAGGACTTCATAAGGAAAATGTGGTGAGATGAGAAACCATGAGAGCCCATCTGCACACGTAGTTCCATGAGAAGTAGAATTTGTGATTACATCCTTAGTCTTATGTTAACCCCAGACTCAAGTGCTTCAACCCAGATTTCCTGGTTGCCTACATTACTCATAATTTGGTTTCTTCTAACCTAGCAGGAGAGAGAAGGCTGGTTCTCCCATGAGAGAAACACAGGTAGGAGGGAGAAAGGCTCTTGCCTCCCAAGGGAAACATCCTTGGCCGTGGATGATGTTCATCACCAAGACCAAGGACACCTCTGATGGGTCCCATATGGAGCTCCCCAGCCTTGGTTTTTGGTGTCTAAGGGAGTGGCTGAAGTGATATTACAAATTTCCAGCCAGTGTTTGTGTTTCTCTTCTCTACCTCTTCTCATTGTCAAGAATGAACTTTAACACAAAACTCAGCTGTTAGGAGAGGTTTGAGGAAAGTATGTAATAAACACAAATTTTTATGGGGTGACTGATGGTACAGCTGCCTTCACCTCACTGCCAGAGGAAACTAGGTTAAAAAAAATAATCCTCACAGGCAAAATATAAAGCAAGATTTTGCTCTGCTGAGTATGACTTCTGTGATACTAGGAGCTGTATTTATTATTTCATTAAACTTCAGTAACACAACTATGATAACATACATGCCATGGTTTATTCTGTAAATCAATCATACTGGAAGAAGTCCACTGTGGAATATCTGTGGATCATGCAGGGTCTATGTTTGTGGCACATCTGTCCCCAAACATTAACAAAAAAAAACTTAAAAAATCATCAGCGATTTGCTAAACAGGTTTATAATGATAGTATCAATTAGGAATGGAATAAATTTTAGCTCCGCTCCATTCATAAATTTATACTCATATAGTCATTCACTTTCTGTTCTCCAGTAGATGCATTGGTGCTTGGACTTTTCTCTGCTTCCTATACAGGGGAAATATCAGCTGAGGCTGCCCATCACTGCTGTGAACATGTCACAGCACCAGGTACTGTGGGACCTGCTCTGCAGTGAGATGCCATTGATCAAACAGATCCAAAACCTTTCTCTGAATAGGTAAATATTGAAGAAAACTCAACACAGCAGAGCCAAAGACCATGGTTCTCAGCTGCCATAATGAACTGATCATCATCAACAGACCTGGTTTCCTAGGGAGGCTGCCTCCCCTGACATGTATTTGCAATATCATCCTCTGTGAAAATTTAAAAATATTCTTAACAGCTTTGTCACCGATTAACTACTTAATGTCTGGAGATTGATGACTGCCCATCATTTCTCCATTCTCAACCATGAGACTGCCACTACTCTCTCTTGTGACACTGTCATACGACGGGGGGATGGACACCGAGGACGAAGTTTCAGACCTGACAGGACTCCTACCATAATTTGCACTCAGCATAGATGCAATGAGTCCTTCCTTTTCAGGAGCAGCATGTCCCAGGGTGTCAGAGCTGTGAGTTCTGTGCTGGTACAGGTAGGAGGCCTGTCTGAGGGAGCGCTGCAGCAGGTGGCTCCTGTAGGCACGCTGGATCACCGTGGCCGACGCTTCCTCCTGCCGGTGGCTGAGCGTCGTCGATATTGGCTCGTAGGATTGTTTGGACGGATTGGCGGCCATGAATTTCTCCTCCATCTGTACTTTCAGACTATCCAGGTCTCCAGAATCTCCCAACACCCTCTTGGTGAAAGCAAACAAGATATCCAAGCAGTGTATCTTGTCCCCGCTGACCACAGGCAGGTCCATTGCTGTGAGTTCAGCTTTGTTTGGTTTTGGTACGCACAGAGGCTGGGGCAGAGCATCTGCAAAGTCTGAAAGTGCAGAGACAGTGATGAACTGAGTTGCCTCAGGATCAAACTTCTCCCAGATTTCATAAAAGATATCAAAGTCATCTTCCCCTAAAGGCTCTGCACTTTCCTCAGTGGCAGCATTGAAGTTCTCCAGAATAACGGCTATATACATGTTTACAACAATGAGAAATGATATAATGATGTAACTAACAAAATAAATAATACCTATGGCAGGTTTACCACATTCACCTATGGTACCATTTATGTTTGGATCACAGAATGGTGGCCCAGTGTTTAAAATAGGACTGAGAAGACCATCCCAGCCAGCTGACGTGGTGATTTGGAAGAGACAGAGCATGCTGTTAGCAAAGGTTTGGAAGTTGAACATATCGTCAATGCCACCTTCCATCTTCACATAGGCAAAGTTAGCCATGCCAAAAATGGCATAAATGAACATGACCAGGAACAGCAAGAGGCCAATGTTGAACAGGGCAGGTAGGGACATCATTAAGGCAAAGAGCAGAGTTCGAATTCCTTTGGCTCCTCGGATGAGTCTCAGGATCCGGCCAATCCGAGCCAAACGAATGACTCTGAAGAGTGTGGGTGGTAAAAAATGTTCAAAGGCTTTGCCAATGCTGGAAAGCAGTAAGGCTGAAAAGGAGAGGATAACAACTTGTTAGAATATCTTATTTTTCATTTAACTAGTAAAGAAACTGGAATGATAACATATTCACAGCTCAAAAATATCGGATGTGTTTTTGCTAAGCCCTACCAGAATAACTTTTAGGAGAAGCTGAATTGAAATAATAGTTGTTGAAATCAGCAATTATGAACAACATTCTTCAGCCATCCCAGGAAAGTCCCTGTTTCACTAAAGATGACAAGGAACTTTCTGTGCACAACCTCAAATATGTGTATCAGTGGACATTTGATGACTGATGGTTTTCTTTGACTCTGGTTGCATGACTATTTCAGAAGATTCAAGTTACCTTCTACATTCGTCTTCAAATACTGACACTACAAAGCTAAACTAAGAAAACAAGGTATAAAGCAATGTCATGGTTATCATTTATATAATATAGGCATGATATGTAGAAGCAAACAGTGATGAACATAGAAGTTGTGCATGCCACTCTACAATGGCTTTGGGTTCATTCAGGGACAGAGCTACACAAGGATGTTATTTTTTCTTTGTTTGAATGAAATAAATGATATCTAGTAGCACTAGAAGAGGCCTGCCTTTTCTAAGTGTAGCTGTTTTGGATACATATTTCTGTATTTACAATCCAGAAATTTAATTTCTCAAGGAAGAGCTATAGTCTTACTGGAATCTTACTTACTCAAGACATGACTCATAGTAAAGAAATGAAATATCCTTCTTCCCTTAAATGCCTGCTGCTAGGGCAGTACTAGCCCTGGGAACAGTTAAACTGGCAGGAAGCTCAAATTTGCAACTGAGCTCTTTACCCCATTCTTCCATTGCAATCCCTTCAGTTAAAAACTAATGCATTTTTGGTGATCTTTTCTAAAGTGTTACAAAGTGTGAACCCTTATTTTCAGTCAGCAGTGCCTGAGTTTGTAGAGACTGAATTCTACAGGCTACAATCTAATTCCAGTCTTCCTATTCTATACATATTCCAGCATTCCTATTTTTCTATATATTTCAGTCATCTGTCAAAAACACAGATGACAAAATCCAATAATTGATCTGATTAAATATTTCTTAGTTGGTACTAAATCTGTGACAATGGAAATTATCATGTAATGTGATGCTGCTATGATGGGTTATTCATTCTGTATTTCAGATGAGAAAAAAACCCCTAAATTATTATAAACATGTACACACTTTTACTGAAGGGATTTTTAAAAATCTCATTTAATATTATTTAATATAATCTTGAGAGGAATTGTTCATTTTTTCCTTAAGACTTTACAGTATTATGACTTACATTTCAATGACTATTTGCAGTTAATAAATTTTAACCACTTTTTTTTTCTTTCTAAAAAGAATAATAATTGATGCAGTAAAGAATTTTCAAGACAATTTTACTTACCAACAAGTGACATAATAACAACAACTAAATCAAATATGTTCCAGGCATTTGAGAAATAGTACTGCCTCAGAGCCAGCAATTTCAGCACACATTCTGCAGTGAAGATGGTAACAAAGAGTATATTGATTTTGCTGAGGACGTTTGTCTTTGTTTCACTTTGCTCATAGGTTTCCACCATCATCGTGACCATGTTGAGACAGATGAGACCCATGATGACAACATCAAACATTTGGGATGTTACAATGTTGAAAAGGAAACCTTGGTATCTGTTCTAGAGGGGGAAAAAATACTTCTGACATGAGTTATAAAAATAAGGAGTTCCCTTCCATACATGTTTCCAACATTTCCAATTTTTATGTTGCAAAGTCACTCAGCTACAATGAAGTCAGAGAAATTGGAGAAAGGCAGAGTACAAAAAGGACATTAAACATCCCTTCCCATCTTGAAGTTTTATCAGTTCCAAAGTGAATATAAAACCCAATAATATTTATGCAGGGAACTTAATAAATATTTAACCCGTAAAATAATTCAGTCAACTTTTTGGTGTGGAACTGACTTTAGAGCACTATGTGAGTATCAATGTAAAGACAACATGAATAATTTATATGCAATATATAAATATATGCACTTTTCAGTGAATTAAATTGCACTTTTGCAATGCATTTTCCCAGTAAAGAATTTCGTTTACCAAGGGTCTTGGAATGGGTTTTTGAGGTTTCTTGGATCCCAACTTTTTCATTGCATTGTAGTATTTTTTCTGTTCTTCTGTCATAAAGATATCTTCCCCACCTAAGTATACAAAGAAAAGTCGTTGTTATTTGATGAGAAGCAACACCATTGTACTTAAAATGTTTAAAATCCTGGAAACTGGCATTCCCTCCTTTGTTACACCTTGCTGTTACTGGCTCCTTTCATATCATGCAACTGTGTCCCAAAAATCAGTGGCACAAACCTGCCATTCACAGAGTAGAAGTCTTGGTGTGAAACTCAGCTCAATCAAAGGAATGGACAAACTCAAACAAAAAGCATGGACAGGATCAAATATTTCCCTGTCTTTCCATGTGCTGAGCTTGCTGAATATCCAAATCATGCATCAGAGCATCTGTAGCAGACCACTTTCTAAATAACCAGTCTCCTGTCATGCTGAGTTTCCCAAAAGAAATTAAATTTTAAGAGGCTTTGAAATGTTTGGGGAAGATCTAGGTATTCAGATTACAGGAGGGAAAAAAGGAGAAAGTTATTTCTTGTAACTTCATTATTAATGCTCTGGTAACTGCCAATAGAAGTTTTAGATTCCATGTATAGGACCTTGCTCTCTAAAGCACAACCACTACACTTATCTTTTTCTTCTGCTGGTTGAAGTTGTCAATGATCACACCAACAAAGAGGTTCAGGGTGAAAAACGATCCAAAGATGATGAAGATCACAAAGTAAAGATACATATACAGATTGCTCTCCATGTCTGGCTGATCATCTTTCTGCAAGAATGAGAAGCAGCTTGAGAAATAACACACAGCAACGTGGGCCCAATTCAGAATAATCTTCATATTGAAGCTCCTCTCAAAAATTGATTCCTGGAGGAACTAAGATATACAGCCTCACTGCTAATTGTGACAAAAGTGGTATAGTTTAAAGCTACCAATAGTGCATAATATAAAATTTTGTTTGAATATTCTTGACGTGATTTTCACAGGCATTGGAGCAGCACCAGTTCGGTTCCTTCCAATAAGAATAGGAGCTGTAAATTTTTCAGTGCATGAAAATTCAACCAAACTATGTAGAAGTCAAATTCCAAGCTCTTGCCATTAAAATTCTTGGCCTAGATACGTTTTTGGTTTTTTTTTCTCTTCTTAGCAAAAAACTTCTGTGATTACTATTATGAATAAAAGCAAAATTGGAAGAAGAAAAATAACTTTTCAAATTGAAGAACAAAGAAGAAAAACATTAAAACATATGCACAAAAACATATCAATATATGAAAATACTATTATTAGTATAGTCATATTTTTACATATTGTTTATATTTTCATATGTAATATTAGCAATATTATAAAATTAAAACACTTTAAAAATTCTTTTATCCCTTTGAACTCCTGATGAAATTAAGACATCCTCTACATTTCAATTTCTTTCCTTCCTAAGTCATACCACCTTGCTCTGTGTAAGTGGGTGGATCTAGAGCTGAAACCCTTTCCCCATTGCACCAGAGGAGCTTTAGGATACTATGAGTCATTTTCAGATTAAATGTTTTCAACATCCAACAAAAAATAATTACTGGTAGTATTTAGCACAGGCAAATAGCAGATGTAGAAGTGCAAAGTGAATATGGCATTTGCAGAAAGTGGCAGCATTCACAGAAAATAAGGTTTGAATACAATGACTGACCTCTCGTGAATCTACTGCTGCATACATGATGTCCATCCAACCCTTAAATGTTGCCTGGAATGAGAGATTATGGAAAATGTGTTGGACTTTGGCCTTAAAAGTCTTCACATACGTTGAAATACCCGAATGACACTGACAGAATAAACCTTCATCAGCATGGCACTAAAGGCCATGCAACACTCATGGCTGAACAAATCCACATTTTGACAGAAAAGGTCACGATTTGCCCCAGAATTCCTTCTGAGATGGATTCCAGCTCTCAGGATCACGAAACTGGTGGAGGCTACAACAGCACTTGCCCACCAAATGTTCCCTTATCATCTGGAAAATCACAGCAGGGTCTCATCCATCCCATTTTCCCATTTATGTGCATGAACAGCCAGCTACAAGGGGACAGCAAGCTGCAGGATATTCCACTCCTTGCATCACCCTCAGAGACGAGTTTGGAATTGATGAAAGGTCAAGCCCATCTGACAAAGTGCTGGCTACTGAGGACAAGCAGCACTTACCACCTGAAGAAGAGCCAGGTAGCCAGAGCCAACATTATCAAAATTGACTTTAACGTTGACCCAGAATATTTTTCCAGTGGTGTTATACGTCTCACAGTCTGTTTTGTTCTTGACGTCGGTACTTATTTCGGAATTTTCATCTGTCATGTTGACACATTTCCCAAACTTCCCAGCAAAGAGGTTCACTCCCATGATGCTGAAGATGAGCCAGAAGATGAGGCAGACGAGCAGAACATTCATGATGGAAGGGATGGCTCCCAGGAGAGCGTTGACCACAACCTTGGATGAAAAGGGAGAGGAAAAACACACTTCAGAAAATGGATGAGCCCAGGTATGTGTAAGCAGTCACTTAGTCAGCTCTGCAAACAAAAACCTGATGTTTTCCATGTAAATACCAGTCACAGCTGGCAGGGGGACCTTGAACAATATCTTTAATATGTATTATGCTTTCAGTGCAATGGTTGATACTTCTTGGTCTGTGAGACCCTACTAATTCTGAAATGTAAGTCCACCCTTTTTTTTTTTCTTATTTTCCCTTGTTTTGAGAATAAAACGTAGTCCATTTGTTTCTTTGTTTTAGACTTTATTAATATAAAATTTCTGAAGTATTCATCCATAGCACAGAGGACTATTTTTAAGACTGTCAAAAGTAGTTCCTAAAAGGACCAGTAAAAATTCTCCACTAGTAATTTCCATCATTAATTTTTAGTGGATTATGATTGTGTTTGGGGTCTATAACCTGATGGTGCATTTTCTGTGCAGCTAGGTGCTGTATAACCACAGAAAAGTATCCATGCAGATTTTAAATATATGCTAAGACATAACAGATTGCTTCAAAAAACTGGGTAAGGGAATGGGGGGAACATTTCTTTGAGGTTCACTGTGAAGACAGTGAACTCATCTGTGAGGTAGCAAAGGAAAACTTAATGGATCAAGAGAAAAATTCAAAGGCTTTGTGAAGGTTTTTTGGAGACTGTGCCACACACATTCTTCATAGCAAGACAGAAAGTATGACATCACCTCTTTCAATATCAAATTTTGATACATTCTGCTAATTAATTTAATGACATTTTTCTCTGTCTTCACAGTGTCAAGACTGTAACCACAGAATTTTCAGTCTCTCTCCCAGAATAAAAAATAATAAATAAATGGGCTCTTTCAATGGGAAAAGACAATCTGATATTCTACAAACACTTTCATTTTCTGAAAGAACTCTACTTGAAACTATAATTTGAGCAAAGTACTTTTTAATAGGCTACAGTTTTTGTAAATCAATGCAGTAAAAACTTTCAAAATTGAAGTGACTCTTTCCTCTGAGTTAGCTAGCTATCAGATTTCAAAAAATATAATTGTGCTCACAGTTCTTATTCTCTACTTTATTTTTGCCTGTCTCAGTAAGACAGGAACACAAGAAGGTCTGAGCAGTGATGGAACAAAGTTCCACCTAGTCCAGTTTTAATTTCAACAGCACTTGAATCAATCACTCCAGAAAGGTCTATAAGGAAACCCAAGTACAGAAGAGCACAACCAAGAGTCTCTTTAAAAATTAATTTTATAGTTCCTAAACTGAATTCGGGGTAAACATGTGACCTTCCTAAAGACACAGTGATGAGTCACAAACCTGTCAGGTGCCCTTCAGTTCTGACAAGCTTTAGTTTGCACTCAGTCTTACCCTCATTCCCTCAAACCGTGACAGTGCTCTCAAGGGTCTCAGAGCTCTCAGAGTCCTCAGGGATTTCATGGGGCCAAAGGTACTGCCAAAGAGGTTTACCAAAGACACCTGAGGGGGAAGACAAAGGAAAAGGATTAGCAATGTCCTGTCATCTGTTTCCTTTATTTCTGTTAAAAACAAAAGAAAAAAAAAACAAAACAAAAAACAAAAAAACAAAACAAAAAACAAACAAACAAACAAACAAAAAAACAAAACAAAAACCCCAAACAAAACAAAACAAAAGAAAAATCAAAACAAACAAAAAAACAAAACCAAACAAACAAAAAAACCAAACAAAAAAACCCCAAAACATAACCAAACTTTCAGTATTGGAGTACAATATCCTGACACCATTGCTACAGGGGTTAAGGGCACTGTCTGAAATTTACATCCAGAAAATAATCAGGGATTCTGCTGCTAATGCTGTGTAGGAAAAGCAAGGGCAGAACTCACATCTACAATGAGGAAATCCAGCCAGCACCAGGCATTGGTGAAATACTTCTTGAAGCCATAAGCCACCCACTTCAGGAGCATCTCCAGAACAAAAATGAAAGTGAACAGTTTGTCAAGAAATAACAATACTGCTTGAATTCTTTGTCTCTTATATAAATGGATGTCTTCAAATGCCTGAAATCATAATAGATATAGATAAATGGTAAAAATCAGAAATTAACCCTGTACAATTAAAGTCAAGCAACACTGAGACCCCTTCATCATTCAATTTAAGACAGATCTGAACACCATTTATTACTCAAATCTATGCCAGCTGATAAAAATATAATTCTCCCTGTGCTTTCTCTTTCTTTTTCACTATATAATACAGCCCTGTGGATGCAACCTTCCTGCACAATGAAATCCTAGGACACTATATATATTTTTAGAAATTTATGTAATAAAGTTATATATTTTTAGAAATTTATATAATAAAGTTATATATTGAAGAGAACTAAGTATTTGTTTTCCCAAGTATTAAGAGTCACTTGTTTTTTTTAATGGTATAAAATCTCCTTAATATTTCACAATTATGACATAACTTCCTGAGAAAAATACAGTATACAGCCAGAAGAGAAACAGCTTCTGAGATTTATATATTCTTAGCTCAGCTCATGCTCTCTTATATTGATATAATAATATCAATAATAGATTTGCAATAATTAAAATGGTGAAAAAAAGACTGCTATTTAAAGACTCTTCCCTAATCATGAGTTCAAAGATATCCACTTTGTTGGTAAAAACTACTTCTCTGTGTGCAAATTAAAGCAAAAAATCCTTCACGAATACACGGAACTGTGCTACACCAACCAGGGCTCCGCTGCTCAGAAGAATCATGAACACGATAAAGGTTTCAAACCAAGAATGCTCAACAATCTGGTAGCAGGTTTTTCTCAGATTCCACCAGGTTTCTCCTCCAAACTTGGCAGCCCTACCCAGGCAACACTGAAAGTACCGAGCACAGCCTGAAAGGGAGAGACAGCAGTGAGAGCCTGGAGGGGATGCACATGAATGTGGAGGCATGGCCAGGAAACTTCTGGGGACAGGACAAAGCCAATGGTCACACTTACTGCATCGTTGCTGTAGGTTTTCCCTGTTCTACCAAGAGAAAAAAAAAATGGGATACACCTAGTTTAATTTGCCTTGTAGCTCCTATTTATATACACAGTAGGTAGAGCCCTTTTGGACGGCTTTCAATTATTTCGAGATATTTCTGAGACACTGGACAGGCTCTCACTGACTTGCTGTCAAAACTTCAAGGCCATGGGAAGAGCCTTGATGTTACAAAAGCCCCTCCCAGTTTCTGCACACTCTTTGGAAAGCAGAGATGAGATGCTGTAACTTCAGCATGGAAAGCCACCAAATTTGTCAGGATTGATATTATGAACAATGTTGTTACATATTAGGGTAGGAAGAAATTATAAAAGTACTGAACACATCCTAGAACAACTTGCAAATTTAGGCATTGTCTGATAATTTGAAAAGAGTCCTCAGATTACTGGATGATATTTAATGTCCTTTCCAACCTAAGTCATTCTATGATTCTCTAATCATCACCCTATAGAAATTCAACTCATCTTAGCAGCTTCTTTTGCTTATTTCACTCCTTTGAGATTGTTCACGAAATATTATACAAGGAATACTTTGGCTGCTGCAATGCATTAATAAATCTGATGTGTTAAGTGACCATTGCCACGTGAGACCTGACCCCACACACGCTTCTCTTATGTTAAACCCTTAGAGTGACTTGGCTGCTGTTGAACTGAGTGAAATTCATCTCACCCCACAATCCTATTTTTCAGAATGAGGTCTATGTCATTTTTTTCCCCATGTCCCACTTGTAAGCAATTGGCTTTTAGGGGAAAGGGTTTTACTTTTTCAGGTGTCTCAGTCTCTGTGTTGACTGTATGGGGACAACTATTTAGCTTTTTTTCAGATAGCTAAAAATAATCTGACCCTATTGGCTCAGCAGCACTAGAGAAACAAGTTGAGTTTTCACTCTTCTCACTTCCCAGTAGTGAAACAATGAGAGAGTCTTACCTTCTGGAAAACATTGTTCTGGAGACTTTAAGTCTTCAGAAAATGCTGGAATCTGTTTTAAAACATCTTCAGGATTTGTGAGATCCACTGTGCTGACTTCAGAAGAGCTGACAGTGTCCAACTACCGAGCACAGTAATATCAGTTATTGATTCTTTCTAACTCAGGTCCAAATCAATAAATTAATCCATGAACAAATAAAACTCAAAATTAAACCTTTGTTAGGTACTAATATTACAAGTATTGTTGGAGTAAGTAATGGAATAAACTTTTTGATTTTAAAAGATACAAGCTTAGAAGTACCAATAGGTGCATTCAAATAGAGGCCAATAATTATATAATTACAATATTTATCTACATGAACCAGATGTAACTGCCTAATCAGCTGGGAAATGAATGGAAGAGCTTTTGAATTGCATATTAGTGAATGTAGTTCTCAAAACAGGAGAAATTACTTGGGTTTAAACCATGAAATCATGGAAAGATGCATTCACACAGGAGACCCAGATAAATATATCTGTTATCATGCCAGGAACTGAGCACCCATGACAGGATTTAGGAATTAGAAATTGGAATCATAGACTGTATTCTTCAGTTATGAAGCTTTTTGCCATCCCATTAAACCAAAGACAATGTGTTATGAGTCAGCAGTTTGTTAGCAATTACTTATTCTACACTTTTGTTCTTTCATGTTTCCATAATACTGTTCTTTACTTCTTTGAATGTATTTTACATTCCAAATTATTTTAAGAGTACTGTTAACTGGCAACAATGATCTTTAATGACACAGAGAGAAACTCATTTCAAGCATTATGTTTCTTGAATCCAAGATATTTAAGACACAGGCAGACTTGGTGGAATTTCCCACATGGAAACTTCTCTCTCTTTATTTTTTTTTTTAATCCTCCTTTTTGTAGTTAGAATTTAAAAAATGGAAGGCATCAGAGAGTATTTTATAAATAATTCATGATTACTACCAAAATTACATTGTAGTCTTCCTATTTCTGCACACTCTCTTTCCTATAATTATTTTTTTTTCTTTAAAATAAATATCTGGAAATCCTTTGATTTTGCTCACAGAATTCCAGCTCCAGTACTGATTTTATCCTGCCAGATCAGGTACTGCAAGTTCAGAGCTGCTTCTGGCACTAAATTTCTCCCTGGCAAATCCCTGAACAGGAATATGCCTGTGTTTGACCAGTATTGGAAAGTCAACAGCACTTAAAAAAAAAATTACCTCTTTTCCTTCTGGTGATGAGAGTTCACTCTTCCTGTCCTTTTCTAGATAAAGCACACTGAATTCTTCAGAGGAAAATCCTGATGCTTTACTCGAGCTGCCCGAATTTTTTGCTCTGTCTCCCCTTTGCCTGAGGTGATTTTCATCCTGAAATTAATCTGTGTATTAGAGGGGCTTTTTTTTGCTTTTTTAGGGAGTGTACAAATCAGAAGGGAAAAATTAATAAGCTATAAATTTAATTTGAAGTATGAATCTCCAGACGAGAGTTATAAGAAAGGATCATTTTGAGTTACTGATTTTACCCAAGGATCGAACTTTTCCCCAACACACAGGCAGCAAATTAAGACATTTTAATTATCTATTCAAAACTCAAAAGAGAATTCTTACATAGGAATTAAGAGGGAAATTTAAGATGGGAAATTGTGATACCAGAATGACAATTGTGATTAAAACAGAACGGAAAAATTAATAGAACACAAAGAAATAGGGTAAATATATGATGTAGTATAAAAAATATGTCCTCAGTAGAGTCACTCCATACTTAATCCCATCCACTTCTAATAATTACTACATACTACATGCAGCAAGGAAAAATATAAATGATCAGAGCTATAAATTCATATGCTGAATCCATGCTGATGTTCTGTATGCAGAACAGTATTTTTTGCTCTTTTGTGTGAATAATACCAAAACAGTTGACATTATTCATAAATATTTACTTTTAAAAAATCCAAGTTCACCAAGGACTGCCACAATTACCTTTCTGCACCACAGCACGCCAGCTAGAATTCCTGCAAAAATTTTCTTTTAAAACCATGAAAGAATCTTGATTTTAAAAAGCTCCAAGTGATGATTTCCCCTTGCTATAAATATTTTTACTTTTGGTTCCAGTTCAGAACTTTGTAACTCTCTGGAATTGGACCAACATATCCCACCCTGTTCTGCTGCAGAACATCTTCTCCCCCACATCTCTCCCTCCCTTCATCTCTCTCCACAATTCTACTGTTCCAACACAAATAAAGAAACCTATTACCTGTTTGCTGCATTCTGTGTCAGTAAATGTGCTCATTTTATCATCATCTTCAAAACCCTCACTTGTATTCTCTGCCTCAGCAATAGGGACACAAACAAATATGTTGGGGTGTCTAACAAAATCTTCAAGACCTGGGCATTTGTCCCCGTTTTTCTCAATCCATTCATTATTGTAATTCTCTTTACAACTTTTTCTCTCTTCACTCTTGAACCCAAATGAGTTCTGTGCAGTCAATTTGATTTTCTTCCTGTGCACTTTCTTTATCTGCCTGAGCTTCCTACAGCAGGCATCCCACGTCACGCTCTTGGCAAAGTGGAATCCCTTGCGGATGCGAGCGAAGGCAATCCGAAGATTGTTCATCTCTCCATCATCCTCTGTTGTCTGGAGACTGTCAGCACTAAAAGAGCTCAGCAGCAGTGCAATGAAAAGGTTGAGAACCTGAAAGAAATTGAAAGAACAACAAAAAAAAATTCAAGTCCGGAGACTAACATTCGAAAATCTGAATTCTAGTTTTGAAGAACACAGATGCTACCAAAGTTCAGTCTCTCCTGAGCAAACCAAAACAAGGTGATAAGGAAATGGCAGTGACTGATCACATTGTGGTTGATGAAATCCACTTCTCTATCAGAAATTTCAATGTTCCCATTCCTCTCTTCTCAAAAAACGTAATTTAAACTACAAGAGAAAACAGATCCGTGTGCCAAATGCGTTATTTGGCAAAAGCAACTTTTCAAAGGTTAAAGTAGTAACATAGACTCATATCCTGTCAGTTTAATAGTTGCCTCTTCATTTTTCAAATTGGAATTAAATCGGGCCTCTGTGGAGTTACTTCCAAAATTCTGTGAGATCAGATTCAGGCCCAGAAACTTCCTCAAATCTTCCACATTATCACAAAAATCAAAACCAAAAGAAGCTCATTTTTTCCTTCAAATAAAAAAAAAATTTAAACCTCCATATTTTTTTGTTTGCTTGCTCTTAAGGGGATATGAGAACTTAATGTTTTCACTAGTATTTTGGTTTCTAATGGGATCTGTGTATCTTAACTTTTATCATGGCAGAACTGGGCAGATAACACTCTGAGCCATCCACAGGCAGTGGAGAGTATCAGCTCTCCAGAGATCAGTTCATCCCATCTGTCTTAGTTATTGGCTTTAGGCTGGAATAAATCTCAGTCCCAGATACCTCTCTCTGCTTCCTTGGACCATAAGAAAGCCTGGAGGAAAAAATGGGTCTGAACACTTCATTGTTTGACAGTTAACATTATATAAGTCTCACTCAGAGCATTGCATCTCTGACATAAATTCTTGCAGTGTGGAACAGGCAGGACATTAAATACGTATTTAGAAATCAGCCACAGAGCAGAGATTTCCCATATAGGTCTGCCTAGAGTTAAATATGTTCAAAATTTTTTTTACAATTAAGAGAAGTATGATATATGAATGAAGGACATGAGGAACAAAGACACTAAAAGAAAATATTAATGATTTGGGCACAAGAAAGGCAGGCTGTCCCTTATGTCCCAGCACAGTGTGTTGAGACTGTGTAGATTATGCCATTGCAAGATTTAGCTCTTGGATATAAATGTATTTTGAGATGCCTGAAAAATAATACTGATTTCTGTGGTAGCACTGTAGATTCTGCCATTTGCTGATAAAGAATTCAGTACTTGCATGAGGTCTTAAAAAAATAAATAAAATTTATTTAGAGAAGACTTAAGCACTTGGTCTAATTAATTCAAGCAGGCAAGCCATAAGCCTCACTGATTATTTACATCCAAATCCCAAGATGTGAAGATGCAGTGTATTTACTGCAAAGGCATTTCTCGTCACATTGCCACATGAAAAGGTCAAGTGATGCCGTGTGCAAAGCTCACAAAATGGGAAAATACAGACAATGGCCCAAAGGTGAAAGGAAAAAGAGGATTTTGCAGACTATAACATACACAGGCAACTTTCCCACCCGTTTTTAGGGAAGCTACCTTTTGTTGTCAGAACAGCCATTAACTGGAGTCCACCACAGGCAGGATGAAGAGAAGAGCACATTGCGAAACTTACCACTAAATTTCCCATCACCATGACCAGCAGAAAGACAACAAGACACAGTGATGGTTCAGCCACCACCATGCAGTCCCACATGGTCTCAATCCATTCTCCACACAGAATTCGGAAAATGACGAGGAATGAATGGAAAAAGTCCTTCATGTGCCAGCGTGGCTTGCAGTCTTTGGCTATTTTAGTGCAGTTGAGCGCATAACTTCTCCCAAAAAGTTGCACCCCTACTATAGCAAAAATGAAAATGATGATTGCCAGGACGAGGGTCAGATTACTCAGTGCTCCCAGGGAGTTACAAATTATTTTAATTAGAGTGTTTAAAGTTGGCCAGGACTTTGCCAGTTTGAAGACCCTCAGCTGTGTAGCAACATAAAACATAGTGTTAGACATCGTTAGAGATAACTCATCTTTGCACCATGCAAATCCTACAATAACCAAATCACTGATATTCTGAACTATTCCAGCAATGCAACATCTTTGGCACATTAATAATTTTTAAAAAGTATTTATAGGTTGTTTTTCTTTTTCTTCTGACTGGGTAACACTGCAGACATAAACTAATCACCTTGTAAAGGACCAGTCTAACTTGAGACCCTGATAAATGCTTGGCCCACCCAAGCAGGTGTCCATGCAATGCTCTTGATGTAGATAATGGTGCCTAATTTACATGTAAAACAAAGGAACAAAAGTTCAGGGACTGCTGCTGTCGCACTATGAAAAGAGTCTATATTTTGATAAAGCAATTTAAATCAGCCCCCAGCATACAAAGTGGATATCTTTACAAAATTTCACATCTCTCTTTAAACATTGTTTATTTCTGTCTGTACTCTGACACTTTTTCCCTTATTTCCTGTGCTAGTTTTTAATTATCTGAATCAGTTTTATAACATGTCCCTTCTGGAATATTTTTTCTTTTGAATATTTCTCAGTGAATTCAAAATAAATATTCTTCTTAAACTCTGGCTCTAATGTTACAAGGAGTAGGTGTGTTTCTTAAAGCCAAGACGAAGCAATAAAAATAATTGGGATAAAAAAAAAAAGTCTTGCCTCCTAAGTGCAGAAGTATTCTCTATTAAATTCACAAGATAAAGTTTCATACAACTGAGCATGCGTGAAGCATTACCAGTCTGAAGGATCGTAAAATTGACAGGGTTCCTCCTTTTTGCCTTTCCTTCTTGTTTTTGTTTTTGGGGAAACTCAGTTCAATTAAACTCAGTGTGACAATGACACTGTCAAAAATATTCCAGGGCTGCTGAAAATAGTAATAGGGATCTAGAGCAATGACTTTTAAGATCATTTCTGCAATGAAGATTCCTGTAAAAACCTGTGACAAAGAAACAATAGCATCAGCCTGAAAGTAGCCAATAATTTGTCTTATCTATAGGTCAAATAACATTCACGGACAGGTTAATAAAATCCATGTTTATCAAGTCCTAAAATACTTTTAATTAAAAAGGAAGGATTTTTTTTTTGCCTTCTCAGAAGCATGCCAAAGTGTATAAAAAAATCTGGGAATCATTTCTATTAGAAACAAAGTATATAAATGCAGAGTTTGCTAATTTTTAATTTTAACTGTTACTTTTTATGTTTAGAGTGAAAACACACATCAACCAATTAATTAATCCTGTAAAAAGCCACATAGCTGAGAACTTGCTTACCAAGTTGCCTATTTTAAGCATGAATTTAAAAGTAGGTGACATATTATTGTGCTCCAGTGCCATGAACAAAGTGTTCATCACAATGCAAATCGTGATGGTGAGATCAAAAAAAGGATCCTTTATAAAAGCAGCCACTTTTTCCTTGAGTCTCAACCAAAGTGGGCAACAGTCCCAAATTAGATACTTTAAAGCAAAGTTCTTCAGGCGTGGTGGGCATTTCTGCTGAGCTTCTTCGTGTTCTAAATGAAGAAGAAAATCCTTCTATCGTTAGTTATCACTGAGCAAGATGGTGAAATAGCAACTTCAAGCATTCAAAAGACCAGAGAAGAAAAAGGAAATCTCTCATCTCTCACAGAGCCTTCCTGCAGTTTTTACTACTCATGTAGATCTTAAATCAGCTGATAAACGTGAAAATAAAAATGCAGAGAAAATTGGATTCCAAATTCTTTCGTGAGCACTTCCTTCAAAAGCCTTTGGAAAGGGTTTTATTTGTCTCAGACTGGTGCTACAGCCTTCTGACAATGCAGATATTTGTGATGCAGAGGTCTCCCCACAGCTTCTCAAGCTCTACTGCAGGACAATGGAGCAGCTGCAGCATTTCCCACCTTGTCCTCACATGGGGCCCTGTCACACCCAACAACTTTTTGTCTCTCTTGAACCCAAGGCAGTTTAAAGAATCAATGGTAGACATGGGAATTCTGACTCTGGCAAATCCAAATTGCCTGAAATTTGGCATTTGGCTCTTCTATGGGAAATGCCACGCCCACCATTTCCCAGCTAATGCAAGTTCAACTCATCTCCATTTTCCACAAGTAGAACTTGGGACAGAAGCCATTTTGTCTTTGTTGTTTTCATCCTTTTAATCAAATCTAAATCTCATAGCTTTTCTTTCTTCACCATTAATATTAATGAGCCCTTCAAAATACTTTTGACCCATCTTAAGTAAGTCCTGTGCAAATTCATTGACCAACTGGAACTAGCTTTAAAAACAAGCACAGTAGGAATTACTCATCTGGTTTTCAAGGACCTGGAAGCTTTTCAGGAATAAATGAGCTGGATCTGACTCATATCCTTTTCTTAATTGGACTCCTCCTTACTTCTTCCCTCTGTTTAATTTTAATTTCTTCTCCCCCAGGCACAACACCTACACCTGCACCCTACACCACTTATTCCAGAGTGATCACTTTGACTCAATCCTAACTCCAGGTCTAGCTCTTGTCTTCCACTAGAGCTACAAGTTCTGTTCCACCCCAGTTTGCAGCTGAAACTGTGCAATAAAACTCAGATTTTTGTTGAATTACACTGCAAGGAAAAGCTCAACTGGATATGTTGCAACCATAATTCTCCCAGGAAAAAAAGACTTCTTAAAAATTAAGGAAAGGGACCTTCCTGCCACAGGCACCCCCCTGTTCAATCCCATATTTGTATCCAAGAGCTGGTGGTAGGGTTCCTCAAAAGGGCCAAAACCAAACAAAAGTTCATCATCCTGAATATATGGACTGAAAATTTTCAGCAAGATCTGGAACAAAACTATCAGTCATCAGCATAATTGTCACTGATTAACTCCCACCAAAAATTCACGTGGGAAGGTGAATTAAAGGAATAAAATTGTGAAGTTTAGTATTCAATATCCAAGAATTACCACAACTAATTTTACTTGCATAATCTTATTAATTGTTGAATTCTGCATGCCTGTGAATCCTCTGAATTCTGCCACTGTCACAACAGAAATCAGAGGATCGGGAGGAGAAAACAGTGTCCCAGACCTGCAGGAAAGATGATCAGAAATATGTCCCACCCAGTCTTACCCAACCCCTTCACCCTCTGTCCTAAAAAATAAGTTTTTACAGTAGGCAAAGATGTGCTCCAGTACATAGACACTGTGTAACACCTTTTTTTCTAAGTCCAAATTAACAATGAAATTCCTAACTACACGCCTACAAATCTCTGCTAACCTTTAAGAAATATGTTTTGTTCTTTCATGACAGCATTACTTTAGGGTTGAAATAAACTTAATGAGGAACCACTTACCTTCCAAGACACTGGTAATTATGCTGACTACACTTGCTGCCCTTTGTCTCTGAAAAGCCTCATTAAAGTACTCCGCTGACAGATGAGGAGGTAAATGCATCATGCTGCTCTCATCGTGCACAGCTGGCTGCTCAGAGAAGTAAACACGATTAGGGAGATACCACAGGAGTGAAATGAGCCAGGATGTGATGATGGGTAACTGCGAGAGTTAATAGGAACAATGACATGCAGCCAAATAAATGTACATTTTTACAAGATGTAATAGATGGTGAGATTGAAGGTCCTGCTCTGTTACGGGGCTGCAGTGAATGAATCCTGCAAGCATGTAACATGAGGCAAGCACAGCCTTGGAAAGGAATGTATGAGGGGAAATAGGCCTAGGAATTATTCAAGAGACTAATGGAATAGGAGAGAGGTGAAGGATAAATAGGGGAAATTGGGGAACTTACAGGCAAAGCTGCTTCATGATGCTAAAGGGGCTATGAACAGAAAAAAAAATAATCACAGGTATTATTCAAAATTACACCCCTGGGCAGCATTTAGGATGAAAAGACTCTTGGGTGACTTGTAATTTCAGCACTAGGAACCTTTCAAACTATGTTAGTACAATTAAGGAATAGCCGAAACATAAGGAAGGCCAAAATCCAATTTTCAGGACGTATCAAACTATTCAAAACCGGTTTCTACAGACAACTGAAAAATTCCCACATCAGTATGCTTGAGTTCACATCACTGCCATTGAGGTGAAACCCTTCAAACAACAAAAAAAAACCCCAACCCTGCCTCTGATCGATAAACCACCATATAAAGCATATACTTAAAATACGACCTTTTCCCTTACCACATCCCCCTTTCCCAAGTCTTCCATGACGGGTGGAAGCACGGCTCCTTCAGAGGACACTGCATCTTGGCTGTGCACCCTGCTGCTCCCTCCTCCCGGCCCCAAAGCCACCCCAAGGTGCTCGTCCACGCCGCCGCCCTTGCCGCTCCGCGCACAGTTCGGGGTGGCGGGGTGGGAGCTGTGCCCCCGTTGGCTTTGCAGGCTGGGGCGTCTCGCTGTGGGTGCTCCTGACAGCGACTGGCACCGGGGTTTGTGTCCCCCGGTGACACCCACGGTGTCCTCGGCGCCGCCATCCGCGCTGGAGTCCAGCTCCACGGCGGGGATTTGGAAGTTGAAGACGCTCCCGTGGCTCAGGCGGCGCTGGGCGTTGGGGCCGTACGCCAGGCCCAGGAGAGACTGGGAGCCCAGGAAAAGCAAAGCAGAGAGAAGAGCAAAGCATCATAGAGGAAATCTGGGGAGGCTGTAAATTACCAGAGCTTCATAACATTTGCTGCAAGTCCAAAACTCTTATTTGATTTAGATTTTTCGGGAAGGATTGTGTTTTAGATTCTCAACGGCAGATAATAAAACTTTATGAGCTGTGCCAGCTATTTTTGAGATAAGCTTTATACTTACAGTTTTACTATGAAATTTTTCACAGAGGATAACGGTATAAAAGCTAAATTCTGGTAGTCATTAACTTCTTTTTATTTCTCGCTGTTATAGAAAAATTATTTAACTATTTATTCAACTATTTTAACTTTGCTTTCATCCTTCATTTATAATACTCCCTTTTCAAACTAATTTTTACATCTAATTCATCTTTATCCCAAAATTTGTTTATTTTAAAAACTTAAGGGTGTTTGTAATGGGATTTTGCTTATGCTTTCAAGCCATTAATTTTAAATTAAAGTTAGAAAAGCTGTAAGGATCTCAGATTCAGATAATAGATTACCAACTTTCGTTGACTGTCTGGGAGCTGTGACTTGGGGAGTTCTTCTTCCTCCTTATCTTCTCTCCCCAATGACTTATTTTTCTTTTTCCTATTGCTCCTTTCTTTGATTTCTTTGGGTGACAGAGAAGAGGCCTCAAAGGAGCTAAGTGACAGGATATCAATCCCTTTAATACCCAACGACTGAAATTAAAAATAAAAAAAAACCATTATTTATATTTTTATATTTCTGCTGGGTGCTTAGAATAAAAGCAGAAAGAAAAAACTTGTGTGCTCAATATTATTATTTCCTGTTAACAATTTGTGTTTCACAAACTCGTTAAAAATCTTCAAATATGTGATAATGCTAAAAGAAAGAGGAGAGAATTTCCCCAACATATGGAGCACTGAACAATTTGCTATTTGCAGTGTGTTATAGGATCACATGTACAGGGCCTGCTAGAGGCAAAATAATCACATTATAGCTCCTACTCCTCCATATGGCAAATTTACTTACAATAAAAATTCTCAGTTTGAAAATAATGCAGTAGAATATATCCTTTCCCCAAAATAAATGTTTGAACCATAATAAAATTCTTTCATTTCATTTGGGATCCTTGGGACTATATTCACAGTGTGGATGATTTTCCTTCCCCTGCTGATTTTAGGGTGATATTTTAAAAATGCAGGAGTATCTTTTTCCAGAAGTTTCTATGTTATTTAAGTTACCAAGAGACTTTTCGTTCAGCTACAATAGGTTTTGGCTCAGATGTTAATGCAGCAGAATTACTGTATGTTTCTTTGTTCAGCAGCCCAAATGACAAAGTAGAATAAAAATAATTTTAAAACAACTACATGTTCTTTTGGAAGCTGCTGATTGATGGAATTTTATGTTTTCCAGATTTAAAAATACTGCTTGTCTTAAAATAACATCACTAAATGATTTTTAACCAGAATAAATCGTTGTTTCACAGGAAACATACACAGCTGAACATGGAATTGTTCTGCAGCTCCAGGAATCACTAATTTCAATGTTATCACTTGCTCCTATTTCCATGAGTGGTTTTTATCTACAGCTGTACACAGGGAGTGATGTTTTTTCTTAGGTCTGGATGGGGCTCTGAGCAGCTTGGTCTAGTGGAAGGTGTCCCTGGCCATGGCAGGGGCTTGGAATGAGATGATCTTTAAGGTCCCTTCCAAACCTAAACAATGCTATGTGACCAAAAATATCTTCCACCCACTTCTCACCCACTCAAGCCCCTTCACTCTATGTCCTACAAAACAAGATTTTACAACAGGCAAAGGATGTGTTCCAGTACATAGACACTGTGTAACACCTTTTTTCTAAAAGAAGTCCAAATTAACAGTGAAATTCCTAACTACACACCTACAAATCTCTGCTAACCTTTAAGAAATGTGTATTGCAAGCGAATAATTTAAGTACCTCTTGCTCCTTCTGCAGTAGTTCCATAGCTTCTCGAAATTTCCTTTCCTTTGCCTCAGTTTCAGCAATGGTGGCTTTGTTCTGGTCCTCATATGCCATGGTTACTACAGCCAGAATCAAGTTGACTAGATAAAATGAGCCCAGAAAGATGACCATCATGAAGAAGACTACATACACCTTCCCAGAAGCTCTGAGGGTCTGCAAGCAACACACCCCAGAGACAAACATTACCACAAAAAATACCAAGTAGGCTTTCAATGTGTCCCTGAAATTCTTTAAAAGCCCTGAGCTTCCTAGACACAATGCTTCAGGAAGCTTAAGTGGAATTAGAAATTTCTTTGCTATTCTTCACTGTCTTCCTCCCTCCTCCTATACACTCACATGTGAATCATTGATTGTACATCCCATGAAGACAATCAAGGAGGCATTTTTATATTTTTGAAGGACAATACAGAACCCTTTTAGGATTTTTTTCCAAGAGCAGGGTGAAAAGACAGGGAAACACTTCAGCATCCCTTTTCTAGGAGTCACAGGGAAGACGTGGGCTGGATGGCTTGCAGCTGTTGCTTTTATTTGAGGTTTCTTGTCCTCTCTACACATTTTCTACTTCAGCTAATTAAGACCTGAAGATTCTGAACCATGCACAAAGCTGTTACCTGTTGGTACAGACGCTCCCAGCAGTCCTGGGTCATCAGGCGGAATAAGGAAAGAAAAGCCCAGCCAAATGTATCAAAACTGGTGAAACCATAATCGGGATTTGGCCCAATTTTACAGCATTTATAGCCAGGAGGACAGTCTCTAAAATTAATAACAAAAAGTGGAGCTCTTATAAATGTGCAGATTTCAAGGAAAACTTCAGCTTTATGTTAGAGTTCTGGTTATGTTTCAGCTCTGCTGTTCATTACAGTGCAAAACAACTTTCTACTCCAGGTAATGTTGGCTGGAAGGAGGGATGGAAAAAGCAGCATCCACAATCCAGAAACAAAGGAAGAAGACATGTGGGAGTAGACCACCATCCCAGGAGAGCCCCCTCATCACCAATCCTCATCCCCTGCCCCTCACTGCAAAGCAGTCACATCTCCCTCTTGCCCAAACCTGCTCTCCAAAATCTGAATTTTGTTTCTCCAGTTTAATACTCATGAGCCTTCACAGAGAGGCGTGTCTGTCCTGTGTTATATCCCAGATCTTTCGTATTTTCTCTCATACATCCATTGGAAAGAGGAAGACAACACTCCAAGGAAGTCTAAAAGACTAATTAGACCTGAATAAGACAACTGCAAGCTCATACTTCATTCCCTACAAGACTTAAATTATCTGAGTGTTTTCTATACTTTGTTTTCTGTGTTCTTATTTCTGCATTCAAAGAAAGAATGGAATTTCTGCTTTTGTCTCACATGACTGAGCAAATATAGGAGCACTGAGGCAGAGAAAACTTCCAAGGAAGAAATAATCTTAAGTGCACTCACCCAGCACCAGGACCACACAGCAAAATATCCACTGTACCATTTTTCCTAGCAAAGTCATCTATTAAAAAAAAGGGGGGAAAAATTAAACCCAGAGCACTTTTTAGCCTGAATCCTCTATCATTTAATATGAGTAGTGATGAGCAACCAGTGACCTGTGAGAGCTAGTGCACAGGTTTCCTGTGCTCACATTAACTGCACCAGATTGCAGGATGCCCTGGCCTCATTTATAAACATGCATATGTGTGTGCTCAAGTTTCAGATGGAAGGCAGTCCTTTAATGCAGAATTTTTAAAGATATCATCACTTTGGCTACATCTGTATAAAGGAAATGGAGAATTGGAAGACAAGCTCAAACACAGTCACAGAATCCCAGAGTGGTTCGGGTTGGAAGGGACTGTAAAACTCATCTCATCCCAACCTCCTGCCATGGGCAGGGACACCTCCCACTATCCCAGGTTGCTCCAAACCCCGTCCAGCCTGGCCTTGGACACTTCCAGGGATCCAGGTGTCAGCCACAGCTTCTCTGGGCACCCTGTGCCAGGGTCTCACCACTCTCTGAATAAAGAATTTCTCCCTAACATCTAATCTAAATGTTAAACCAATCCAGTATTTGGCAAATGTTGGCACAAACTGTCAGAGTTCTGGCCTGCAGCAATTACCCTTCTCCAAGAACATGTGCAAACATTGCTAAGAGTAGAATAGACCAGTTCTGTTTCTAATGAGCAATAAAAACAAAGTCTGGTTCTCAGGGGGAAGAAAGAGTTTTTGCTGGTGTGAATATCCCCCACTGCTGAGCCAAACAGCAGCTCCTAACCCCCCTTAGCTGAGAAATGCAGATTTATCCATTAGGATGCTGGAGCTGTGCCCTTTTTGAACTCTTCCCCTATTTCTCTTAGCATTAGTTACTCTGTTATCAGCAGAATCAAAGTAAAAGCTTCAGCTAATTGCTAATTATCTCCATTAAGATGCGGATTTATTATCCCAGATGTAAGGGAAGTCTCATGTCTCCCTGGTGCTTCTCAAACATCTCCTGTGCTCATCAGATAAGTCAGCACGATTCAGAACCACCAGGAACCTTTGATATCAGCTTTGCCATATCATAAAAATATCCTATAAAGGAATGAATCCCTATCTGGGCTACTTCCCACTGAAATTTTGCTCAGCTCCACTCCTGCAAACTGAAAAAAAAAAAAAAAAAAAGTGGGTTTTTTTCAAGAAGATTCAGTGATTGAACTTCAGAGAATCATAATAACATATAGTTATCCATTTGGGAGATGGCAACTTCCCACAAAATCAGGATGAAAGGAGTCTATAAAAATATATAAAAGTAGTTTTATAGAAAACTGGGCTTACAGGGCTCTATATCCTAAATCCTGTAAGAAAGTCATCATGCATTAAACCTGTCTGGGCTCTCCTATTCTTTTTGGCATTGGATTTGAACAACACAAAGGTTGTGAAACATCACAGATTTTATATTTCTTGAGCTCTGTTTTCTCCACACCATTGCCTTTATACAGCTTCAATATCTGCATATACAAAAATATAGATCTTTTTACTTCTTTTTCTTCAGCACAGAAAATCAGCATTTTTAGCCCAGCTTTGTCACATTTATGGTCTCTGCTACAGTGTTCTAGTCACTGTCTGGTTCTTTTTCAAGTTTGCTTTCAATTGTGATTTTTGCAGCATTCTGTACATGTAAATTACTTCCTTCTTATGTGTGGTCTTTTGGTAGGAACAAGGGAAAAAAAGGTTTTCCTCAAAAATCTTTTCTACACTTCCTTCCCCTGGACTTTGAAATTATTGAAGAAATCCTGTCTGAACAAATCTCCCACACAGTGTGTGGACAAACAGCAATTCTGGGTGACTTTTCATGTATTTTGAGAGTTTCCCTGGGAAAGTTCTTCTCTTCCTGTGCACTGTTGCTATGTCTGAACTCACTGGGAGAGATATTCTTCAGTGATGAAGCTTTCTTCATATTTCTGGCACAGACATTGATTATTTAGAATCTGTTTGGTTTTTTTTTTCACATATATTGAAGCTTCTCCTTTAACAAGGCTTTGCTTTGCTCTTCTGAATTGCATCATTTTACAGTTAGTTCCTCTGAGAACGCTTTGATGCATTTTCAGGTCTCTGCTCCATGGTTCCATCACCAGCGTCAGCCAAGGTGTAAACATGCAACATATTTGTATATATGTTATATAAGACATAAAAGAAGATATATTTGACGTCAAGGAGAAAGTAATTTGACTTTTGAACAAATTCCTCTGTTTCAAGCTGAGCAGCAGTTCTCACTGAGCAGGAAAATGAAGATGCATGGGCTCTGCAGCTTGTAGTATAAGGTGAGCTTTGGGGAATTACAACAGAGAATGAGCTAATGCATGTTTCAGTTATTGTCATATCATTTGGGGAAACAGATCTGCATGTTACTGGAAAATTTGGGAGTGCTTTTTCTTATAATGAAGGGAAGGAGTGCATTCCTGGATGCCTGCATGCTGCTCTGGCAATCAGAAGGCCATTATCAGGTAGTTACTCATCAAAATATCAATCAAAACATCAACATAATTCACAGCAGTGTTTATATATGTATGCATAGATGTCTATAGCATCATCTAAAGAAGAATTAAGGAGAAAAAAATTACCTGAATCATTAACAAACTTTTCATAACTTTCCCATGTTTTATTACAAAACTCTGTCGTGTTCCTGATACACTTTTGCCTGAGATTGCCCTTAAAAAGCTGGAGGCCTATGAGGGCAAAAACACTCAGGCAGAAAACAGTCAGGATCATCACATTAGCAAGTTTCTTAACAGACTGGATAAGTGCTCCTACAATGATCTTGAGCCCTAAAAATACAATGTAAAGAGGAAAAACAGGATGAAGAACTGAGATTCAAATACCATAATCGATTAGAGTTAAAACAATGTATAAAAGCCAAAGTATAAGAATTACAGGATAATATGTGGCAAATATATTTGTAATACGATTATATTTAGGATGAGAGTGACTATTATGAAACATCACTTTACTCCTTTCGTTGACCCTACAATTTTTAAATGTTCCTTTAATCCCTGAAAAATGGTCACACAAAAATGACAAACCAGATATAGTCTAGTTTTCTTTATCTATGAAAAGTAATATGCATAATTCAAATGACACTTCCAACACTGGTAATTTGTGAAGATAGTATCCAATGTGAACCTTTCCTGGCATGGATTGATGATGTAAGATCATTATTGGTAAAGTCCCTCCAATGTCCAGAATTATTTCTGTGGAACCATAACACACACATCATTCTGTAAAACTGCCATTATAAACTGTGAACAGTATCTTTAAAAGCATAATGAAAAAAACAAACTATATTCAATATTCTTTCTAACATGATTCATTCTGACTGGGATAGATGAACTGAGACATTTTTTGTGTGCACAAATTCAGCGGTGTCTGCAAATTGTGAAAAATATGGGGGGAAAAAAGGTAAAAGCCAACATTTTGAATGAAGCAAAGAATGAGCTGTAAGTAGAAACAAATACTCAGCAAGTAAGATTTCTTACCTGGGACTACTGAAATGGTTTTTAAAGCTCTGAGAACCCTGAAAGTCCTGAGGACTGACACACTCCCCAAGTCACTAAATGCTCCCACATACCTGTAAAGACCAGATGTGAAAAACCAAGTGGTTGAACAGAGTTAACAGGGCAGTTTTGAACAGTGGTCATTCTTGCATGTCCATCTTTCCAAGTGTATTTTAAGTATTTAAAAGACTACATATGAAAGATTTGTCTGAAGACATATAAAATAGAAATGCATTTCTTCATTGTTAGAGTTTCCCTCTGAGGTGGCTCCTGGCTTGTGCACAGCTGCTTTTGTGTGAGCATCTTAAAATATCATTCATTTAAGATACAAAGGTACCACTCAAAATTATAAATTTACAAATGCTGGCTGAACTGGTTTGACCTCTTTTCTGTAGTTGCATTTAACCAGTATATAGAAGCTTGTTAATTACCAGAAAATTAGGCTTTAACTATGATTTTTGGAGATGAAGTTGCAATTAAATCCACTATCTATACCTATCTATACCCATCACTCTAACTGCAAAATTATACTTTCATTCATGTGGTCAGAAAGTCTCTATTTATGCCCAGCCTTTACATTTCACCAGTCTAAACACATCCATTCATACATACCCACCACTGGGAATATATTGCTCTGCACATCTCTATTCCCTTCTTGAAAGGCTAAAATGTTATGGTAACACAGTGAGTGCCAAACAAGGGGAAAAGTCAATGTTCTAGACAGTTTCAGGTGCGATTAGAAGCCATGGGTTGGTTTATAAACCACAGACAGCCTTTTGCATCACAACAATGAGAACAGAGAGTCGAGGCAGGTAATCCAAATTTTATTTGTCCCCACTTACGCCATGACGATAACGGTGAAATCCAACCAGTTCCAGGGATCCCGAAGGAAAGTGAATTCATTTAGACAGAATCCTGTTGCCAATATTTTTATCAATGATTCAAAAGTGTAAATGCCAGTGAAAGTAAATCTAAGAGGGGGGAGAAAAGAGCCAAAGGGAAAGAGGAGGGTTAGCACTCAATGGAAGAGGTACGGTCAGATTATTTAATGTCTGGGCCAGCCAACTCAGACAATGCTGGAGAGAACCAACAGATTTCTGTTGGATTTCAGTGTATTCCATCAGCATCTGGCTCACATGGAGATGGAAACAGCTGACTGCAACCTGGACATGGCTATTAATGTGCAACCTATGACACACACACTTTTTGGCATTCATCAATTTTTTATAAATTCTTTCACGTGAGTCCCTATAATTTCAGAAACACCAAACTCCCAGTAACTAACTAAAATAAAGATCCACATTTGTATCTTCCTCAAGTTTCAAACATCCAAGTGAACGTGTGATGTGCTGTGTTATTTCCTTTGGGCACACAGCAACCATTTCTGTGCAGAGTATTTAAAACACTTAGAGGAATACAAGAGTAGAGGGTTTTCAATTTAAGATGGCAATTATTCTTATTAATGGAAAATTATCAGTAAAAGCTCTTCTGGACTTAACTGAGTGCACTTATAATTTGAAGAAGGCAGCAATATCCCTACAGAATTCAAAAGGCTTTCATTTGGTAGTCAGCAAATGCACTAAGAAATTATATGGATGTAGTGCTTCCCTTTTTATTTGGAAAGAAGTATTCTGAAATTATGCTTGAGATGCATTTGAATGGTAGTTGATGCCAACAGCACATACAACTCTGATCCAACCTTTAACTCTCTCATAGGTAGGGAAGCACCTCAGCATCTTCTGGAGTTGTGTATTTTAATACCATGCAGAGTCTTGCTCCTGCTTGCATGAGAGTTTGCCATTCCAAGCTGTTTCAGTGTCATTTAACATGATACAGTAAAAAATAATTTTAAATCTGTTTTTAATATTAAGTATTGGGGAATCTTCTCCTTTGTGTTAGGTGTTGGAATTATCAGTATTCATATTCTAGCATTTTTGCCAAAGTGAAGAAGTGACAGCTGATATAGTGTCTGAAAAAGAAAACAAAACCAAAAACCCTACAGCATTATACATTTCAAGACTGACTACAAAGCATGGACTTATTGTGATTTAACATTGCAGGTGTTGGCAGCACTGAAGATAAAAGCTTTACATTCTAACAACACTCTGCAGCCAAGTGCTTCTGACAGAACATTTTATTAGAGCAAAACTCAGCATTTCAATATAATTAGCCAGAATTCTGAAAGACAGCAACTCCCATGTGCTCAATCAGCATGAGTAACAACAGGAAATACATCTTGATAGAGAGCAAATGATTACTGAGTAACTTCAGAAAGTGGGAAAACTGGAGCATCAGAACAGTCTTGAAGCCAGTTCAACAGTGGAACTTAATCTACTTACTCTCTCCTGTAACACCAAAATTATTGTATATATTTGGTTTAAAGACAAAACTACTTCCTCAAATAAAATCTAAATTTAAAAACACTCTTAAGACAAGCAACTTTCCTTTTAAATCTCCCACAAACGATCTCGAGTGAAAGTGTCAAGTCTCAATAACTCAGTACAACTGCATAAATTAAAAATCTACATACCCATAGATACTTACTCAACATATGTGTTCCATGAAGATGATGAAGACTTGGATGACTCTGTCAGAGCCATGAATACACAATTAGTTACAATGGTGCACATGATAAACCAGGTGAACAGTGTAAGTCATGGGAGTGAAGGCAAAGAATACAACATGGATTCAGAAATGAAACTAAATATTGCATTAGACACTGGCTTAATATCTGGCTTTTTATTTAAAGCACATGTAAGTACAGCATGCACAGTATTCACTGATTTTGAGCCACGTTAGATGACAACACACTACTGCTGTTATTCATGGAATTGTGTATTGATTACAGCCTGGAAAAAGGACCCTCAACCACTCTAGGGTTGGGTGGAAGGATACAATTTTAGTTTCATTTTACAGCATACAAGTTAAACACTTGCCCAAATCACACAGGTGAGCCCAAACCTGCCTCTGACCTGGCAAAACTTTTCTCTTCCAAAGGACAGCACAAAATCTTGACAGGGTGATTGCAGGAGTCTCAAACAACTCTAGATCACAGAATCATAGGATATGCTGAGTTTGAAGGGACCTACCAGGGTCATCAGGGCAACTCCTGGCCCTTTTCAGGACATCCCAAGAGTCACATCATCTGCCTGAGAGCATTATTTCACTGCTTCTTGAGCTCTGTCATGTTTGGTGCTGTGTCCACTGCCCTGGGGAGCCTGTTCAGTGCCCAGCCACCCTCTGGGGGAAGAACTTTTTCTTGATACCGAACCTAAACCTCCCCTGGCTTGGCTCCAGCTGTTTCCTCAAGTGCTGTCACTTGTCACCAGAGCAAAGAGCTCAGGGTCTGCCCCTCACAAGGAAGTTGAAGACCACAATGAGTCTCCCCTCAGCCTCCTCTTCTCCAGGCTGAGCAGACTGATTTCCCTCTGGCACTCCTCATGTGGCTTCCCCTCCAGACCATTCACCATCTTCAAAGTCCTCCTTTGGATGCTCTCTAATGGATTAATGGGGTTTTTGTATTGTGAATCCCATCTTAGCCAACTCTAGGGGCTCCCAGGTCCTGTCTGGGACCTGCTGGCCCACAGAACAGGAGCTCATATATTGACACCTAAGCTCAAGCCCATGACTCTGGAGCTGGATCTTGTTGTACCACACCTGTGGGCAATCCACAGGGCAGAAGAGTATGGGAAAGCCACCCAGCTTTGCCATTATGCATCTTCTCCATCCCCACAAAAAAAGAAATTCCTGGCTTTAGCTCTAGGCAGGGTCCAGCTGCCAGAAGGAGCTGGGCCACTCATGGAAAAGCCAATGCCAGACAACTTCTGCCCAGAGAAAGCCCCAGATGAGAGGCATCACAGCCAGGGATGTCTGCACACTGCTACCACGACAACCTCGAGTCATTGAAGTCACCTCACACCACAGAGCCAGGAGATGGCTGGAAATCTGAAATCCACACAGGCACTCACAGACTCCACTCTGGGTCTGATTCAGCCCCCAGCAACAGCTCAGGTGTCCTTCCCCACTGCCAAACTGGAGCAATACACTTGTGATTCCCACCCCCTAAATTTAATATATGAGGTGGGATCTGTATTACCTTTATATTCCCAAGGCATTCCCTGCAACAGCATTCCTGGAAAGATTTACTTTCATATACCACACATACACTTTTTGAATCTTATTTCCCAAAGAAACTAAGTTTACATGGTTTTTTTCTGTGTTTTCCTGCGTGTGCTTGCCCATCTCAACCTTTTCTCTCAAAACTGGTTTATCAGCTTTGGAATATGAGTTGAATTTAATTTCCACATATGGGTAAGCAGAAGATGAAAAAGAGGATAGAGATCTTATCAATCTTCTCACTGGAAAATGCTTCAGAATGAGATAGTTGTTTATGACACATCAGGAAATCAATGTCAGAGCTCAAAACACAAATCTGTAGAAAATCAGGCTTAATAAGCCAAATACTCAACATTTAGTTCTAAATATCATAAGAGTATTAAAACACTAATAATATCTAAGGTGATTCATAATTAGAATCTGCCTGTAGTGAGAAAAAGACCAGACTAACTCAAAGCTGTAAAATACAAAAGCACAGGATTATGTAAGATTTTATAATCCAAAAGAGTGAGTAAAGCAGATAAAAGGATATGAATGTACTAAAATTTTAATTGCTCTTCTTCGTATTGGATGGAAGGGACTGAAGATCCACAGGGCACGTGTAGCAGTAAATCTGTAGATTGTTTTCTGCTTGTTTAGCACTATGAAAATCTTTTTAAAATAAACAAACAAGAATTCGTCAGGAAGTGGAACACAGAACATATTTTTGTGCTATACCCTGTTGTGTCAGTCATGAGCCAGACTTTGAATTTCACTTTAGCCTGATTAACTGGAAAGGCTGTATAAATTTGCTATTCTTTCATCAGAAACTTTGACCCTCAAGCTGCAAAATATTCCTTAGCACAAACTTCTTTTCTCAACTTTGTGATTTGCAAAGAGCTGTGCACAGAACTAATCTTGCTTATGATTATTCTGTGAAAATAGAATGAACCCCTCACTGAGTCAAGATACACAAGAAGTGCAAGGAAGAACTGCAGCCTTTTTCATTATTTGTTATTTTTGACAATGATCCTCTAGCTCTTAGACTGCAGAAATTAGTTCAATGTTTAACCTCCTCTCAAGCAAAAAGCATAGTTCCCAATGGATTAATTTCCATTTCTCTCTTTGTTATTGAAAATCATATTCTCCAATATGTCACAACTGGATTATGGAACTTGAGTCAGGAGGTTGTAAGGATTCATCAGCAATTGTTTAAAAATAATTTTTTATGGTTAAGTATCATATGTTGTATGTGTAAGTGGAACAAAAACATTGAGATGGAGTGAAGCACGTTGTTCAAAATGATAGAATTTATGAAAATTATATACAAAATGTACAAAATTACTATAACTTCTAATTATTATAATTTCTTTCTCAAAGCCCCCTTTTCTTTCTTTATCCATTTTTTTTGCTTCTATTCTGATTTAAATGTTAATCAATTTCATATTATTTCATTTTTAAAATTAAAGGTTAAACTTTAAAAAAAAAATATTACAGCACATCACTCAGCTGTGCTGACTCCATTCACTGTTTAACCTAGAAAGGGATGAGAGTTTGTATAAAGGGATGTAAGCAAAACTCTTTGATAGATTGCCTACAGAAACTTTTGGCAATACAATAAATTAAATTAAATTGATTAAAAATCAAATCCAAGTATCTTGGTCGGCTCTAACCTTGTGATCTTTGTAGTATGGGTCGAGATCCTCCAGTGGTTCCCCAATGAGCTCTGGAGGAGGATTTCCATAGAGAGCTGGCAACTTCTGGAAAGCTTTCAGGTCAAGTTGAGGACGTGGTTTCTCCTTAGGTTTCTGCTCTATGGTATTTCTTCGACAATTCTTTTTGGCAGCAATTCTCTTTTTGATTGCTGCCAAGGATTCCTGAGTGAACCTACGGAAGTTGTTGGTACCAGGTAGCAAGAATTCAGCCATTTTTCATGCTTTTCTTCCTCCCACTAATTCTGTCCAAACAACAGAAACAAGTAAAAAGGAAGTTAAGTAACTCCAAAACGGGTAAGTTATGGAAATGAAAAAACAGTTAGCCCTTGCATGGCTAAGAACAACAACTTTCTAAGCCATCAGCTTCTACAAAGAAGAAAAAAAAAACAAGAAAATTTATGATCAATACCTTTTTCAGTGAGATGTCTGTTCAGTAATTTTTCTAGTTATATGCACAGATAGGATGTGAGCAAAGCTCTATAAAGAGTGTATTTGGAGCACCTAATTTAAGATACACATTATCCTAAATGCCCCTAAGCTGCTCAGAAAAAAAAAAAACAAACAACAACCTACTCTTCTGGTTCAGCCCAATATTTGGAAATGGGACAGTAAAACCCATCAAAATGCAGCATCAAACATGTGGAAGCTGTCAGCAGCAGGAGGATCAAGTCCTGAATTAAATAATGCAGTTAGGAATACTCAATTGGAAAGTCCATCCTGGTGGAACCAGCACAGGAATGAGCAGCATCCAAGAGGATTTAATTTGTGACCCACAGGATCATGACATGGAGGTGACTCAAGGAGTCATTGATGTGAATACTGACTGACATGGAGCACAGAAAGGCTTGATCTGAGAAAGTTTATATTTTATACCTTCCACTCAGATTAAAAAAAAAAAAAAAAAAAGAGCTCTGCTTTCAACTCCCAGGTTATTTAGAGCAGCAGCTTCTAAAGGTCTGCTTCAGAATCAGCCAATTTATTACATGTGACAAGCTTGTGGTACACCCCAAGGAGCCGAATTAGATAGGAATGTTTAACCTCGAAAAACCACTCAGAAAAAAAAAAAAAAAAAAAAGTGACAATAAACTAGAAAAACACTTTTCACTTTTGATTAAGAAATCTGGCCAGGTTTTGGATGGAATCCATCCACTGAACACAACCTGAGTGCATGCTCTGCAAGGAGATTTCCCTAAAATATTTTCTTTGATTATGACCTCTGGGAAGAGATTATTAATTCAGTAAAGGGTCAGGGAACTCCCGAGCCAGTGCAGCCCCACCTGCAGAGCGTGCAATGATCCCACCTGGTTGGGGGCTCTCCCTGGGGTGGATCAGTGCTGAGCAGGCACAGAAGATCACCTCGCAGGCACACAGTCAGGATTTTTCATTCAGAAGCTGCCACCACCCCTTCCAGTGTGCTTCAAATTTGACTCCATAACAGCAGTGAGAGCTTAACTTGAAATTTAAGTCCTCCTGCCTGACAACAAGTCCTTCTCTTCTTCTACCTTTCCTTTCCAGACACTGCATGGAAGACCCCAGGAAAACATAGCCTGAACCAAGAGGCTTTGTTTTACTTTGTAAATAATTTTTTGTGTGTGCTGACTGCCTGTATCTTCCCCTGCCTTTTGATTTTTCCCCAGATACAACATGATTTCAGCTGACCTCACATTGCTGAGCTGTAGGAAACCATTGCTGTGAGAACAGCTGGAGGCCAGTGACAAACTAACTGCAGTGAAATTGCTCCATTTTTGCAGTCTGCCTGCCTCTCCCATTAAAGCAGCTCACTAAATTATGAATATGAGAAGTAACCCTTGCTCCCAGCACAAATTAGCATCATTTCTGGAAGAGAAGTAGGACAGTCAGGCAAGGATACTCTTTATTCTCTAGTTTTCAATATCAGGTTAACAGTCTGGAAGCTGTGTGTAATATTGCAGCAAGAACAAAAACTACAACATCCACTCACAAGATCTCGAGTCTTCATCTGGACAAAGTGGTGTTTGTTCTGTTGATGTTCAGGGTAATTTAGATGTTGTGGTATCAGTAATGGGAGCTGTGAATGATGTATGAAAAGATGCAATTTCTGTGCAATGCACAGAGGGAATACAATAATTACCTTATTAGGCTTTGTGCCAAATTTTCTGAACATGCCCATCCCTCCACTTTCATAAAAGTTTACCTGATCTCAAAAGTTCACCATTAAAATTCTGTGTTTGTCGCAGATTTCATTGTGGTTTTATGTCTTCCCTTCCAAGAAACCATCTTGTAACCTTCCAGAAAAGAAACTTTGATACTCACACCATTTTCCCTCAAGACTACTCCAGGGCACAGGAGATTCTAGGAAAACAAGAGGTTGCTGGCTAAAGCCAAGGATGGGGAATTAGAAGGAAGCACAAGGGCACACAGAGCCTGGATATCTTTCCTGGTGGTTTTATGTATTGCTTAAAAAAATAATGGAAAAATTAATTTTTCAAACATAAAGGAAGGAAAACAAGCCTTGAGCTTGTTGTCTCACAAGTCAGCAGCAAAATTTCCATGAGAACAGCTGCAAGCCACAGAGCAAAAAGCTAAAACTACACTTTTTATCCATGGGCAATTCTGAGCTAATCAGCCTAATGCTGAATCAAATCTAACAATTATTAGAAATTGAGTAATTGGGGAAAAAATGTCTCTGATTCATTCCAGCATCTTTAAAAACGTCCCCAAAATAATTTCTGTTACTCATAGTCTAAGGGAGAGTAGCACACAAAAGACAGCTGAGATGTATCTAGTTTTTATGTGACCAGGTACCAGTGGGGCAATTTGACCTAAAGAAGAAAAAAATGTTAATGCAAAACCATTTTTCCCCTTTATGTCACAGAAGAAACAAAGTAGCATTTTGGCCTTTTCTCAAGACTTGAAATACCTACAAAACAGTATGATATTTAATATTTCTTGAAAATGAAAATTATCCTTGGAATTCCTAAAGACCAGACACTGATAGTGAAATCACCATGATCAAAGAATAATTATTTAAATTTAAAAAAAAATTAAAAAAAAAGAAACAAACAACAAAGCATTTATATTTTTTTCTATCAGCTGTCAAACTTACTTTCTATGGATTATTTCTCAAATACCATAGCATGTAAGATATATTCCCAAAGTAAGGCTGTCTTCTCAATGTCTTTTCCTCTTTAGAAATATTCATTGTGAATAGATCAGGAAACAAGGTTATTGTCAAAGATATTTTCGCTCCTTTTATTGCTATAACAATCACCCCAATTCAATCCCTGTTAATGAATAAAATTGTTCTCAATTATTTGCTTTTATGGCTTTGTCATCTGTTATAAAAAGAGGTGAAAAATGATGACTATTCCTGTGTTCAGCATGACCAAAGTAATAAGTATTATCAGAGTGGCCAAGATTACCCTATTTCTTTTTGTTAGTTTGTTTCTTTAGTTTGGAAAATTGTTACTATGTTTCACTTGGACTGTATTGCATCTTTCTACAGCTGAATTTCCAGAGGGGAACTCAAACTTTTACAGAACTAAATAAAAAAAAGATGTAAGTAGTAGAAGGTCAAAGTTTCTTCAGAACTGTTCTCCTCTTTCCCCAAAGACATTTCTGTGTTTTGAGGCAGATGATTTAATCAAACCAAGCTGACATTTTCTTAATGGCTCTTAAGATACATATTAAAGCAACACTTGTATATTAACACGTACAAATTTTTAATCAGAGAATAATTTGGGTTGAAAGGGAGATTAGGAGGCTCCTCAAAGTGGGTAAGTCATGAGGTCAGGGCTTTACCCAGACAAATCTCCAAGAATAGCCAGCACAACCTCTTAGAGTACCTTGTTCCAAGACTTGACTGTCTCAGCCCATTTGGATCCCCCTTGCTTTAATTTATGTTTCCTGCCTCTTGTTTTCCCACTATACGAAACTGTCACAATAAAAAATAAAGAGATTATTGTATTCATAGAATAATTGAATGGTTTGGGTTAGAAGGCATCCTAAAGCCCATCCAGTGCCACCCCTGCCGTGGCAGGGACACCTTCCACTATCCCAGGCTGCTCCAAGCCCTGTCCAACCTGGCCTTGGACACTTCCAGGGATCCAGGGGCAGCCACAGCTTCTCTGGGCACCCTGTGCCAGGGTCTCACCACCCTCATAGGAAAGAATTTCTCCCTGATATCCAGTTTAAATCTCCCCTCTGTCAGTTTAAATCCATTGTCCCTCCATCTTTTGTCCCCAGTCCCTCTCCAGCTTTCCTGAAGCCCCTTTGGGCACTGGAAGGGGCTCTGAGCTCTCCCTGGAGCCTTTACTTTTCCAGGCTGAACAACCCCAGCTCTCCCAGTCTTTTATTTGAAAGGTAAAAGGCAACCCCAAAGTGCCCCTGTATAAGGAGAGCAGACATTACCCCCTCTTCAGCCCGTTTAGTTACTCCTCTATTGCATCCTACAAGGAACTCCTCCCGGGTCTGATCACACCACCCTGTGCAGCACCACTGACACTGACAAGGGAGGAAGACTCCACACCCTCCTTGCAATCAACAAAACCGTGAATTCAGAGCAGCTAATGATGACTGAACACAGAGATTAACATAGACACATGAAGAGTACCAAAAAAAAGAAAAGCAACAGATTTTTCTCACTAGTATGAGACAAATCCCCACTTTTCAAAGTGGGATTTACAGTTAACCGTTCTCAGTGCTGGAGAATGAAGGCAACAGTGTGGAGATTCACAAAATAATTCACCTGATAAAACCAGTTAGCATTCACCCAGAAAGCCCCTCTGGGTGGGATTCATTTCACCTCAGTGCAGACATCTTGGAGTTACACAGCTACACCTCCACGAGCTCCCATGCTGCCTGCTGAGACCCCTTTTGACATTTATTTCAGCAAAGAAATGCCAGTTGACTACAATTGATGGCCTGAGATATCTCAAGTGAGACGAGATAAATTCAACTCCTTGCATACATTACACCTGCTCTTCTCACTGCCCCTACTAATGGACAACTGCTAAACTTCCAAAGACTGGTGATTCTACAGTCAGTGGTGGGACTGGGCAAACATCATTAGTCACCAGCAGACTGTGAACACATAAAAATTCTATGATTGCCTGATATTGAATTGTCTTGTTAATGACTACTTCCAGCACAAGCCTTCTTAGCAATTAGTGAAGCGTTAAGTCACATTTTCTTTTGCCTGGTAAGGGGGCACTAATTTTCAGCTACTTTGCCAT